CTTGCACCCGGGGGTGCTTTCGAACTGCTAGGTTGGCAGGCGCTGGGACCGAGCGACGGGAGCGCACCCCGCCACGGGGATTCGAACTGCCGACCTTTCGATCGGCAAGTCTAGTCGCTGAGGCTTTAACCCACAGTGCCACCCGCGTCCCCGATAGCTGAAGGAAACTGACAGTCAAATTTGATGTTAACGAACATCAAGACCACTGATTCTTCTAGTTCAGTATTATCCACACTGACTGTCAACAGGTCTCCAGGTTTAAGATAGGGGACGTTCCCACTCCTACCCGGAGATGCCAGAAGTTGAAACTGGGAAATTATCCATGCAAAACAGATGCTCTACCACTGGGATATTACCCTTTCATACTGGGTGTTCAAGTGCAATTTTCATGGGGACCACAGCATGTGGGGAGGGGAGGTTTAACCCTTCCCTCTCCAGCCATGATCCTGATTTTTAAAAAACCCTCATTCACCACTGAAATTAGCCTCAAGAAAAAGCTCCTATTGGCCCTTTTTAAAAAAAAAATGTGAAAAGTTGACTGCATATACACTTATGGAATTGATTAGCGGGTTTCACATGCATGCATGAAGGTTATATTTTAATAATATTTAAACAAACAAACAAAAATCCTCAACATTCAAAGTTATTGGTGTCATTTCTTAGAGAAGGCCTCATTAAACCTGCCAAATGTTTCCCATTTAAAGCCCCTCCCTTCAGTTATTTTTAAGCCAGCCAAACATTAATTGTCAAGGCAGAATTCTCTGATGCTGGCTTACTAATTCCAAACACCTTCTTTATATGTTGTTCTGCCCCCCAACAAAAAAGGATGCAGTAAATTTGCTGAAGCGGCTCCAGCTTTTCTGCAGGATGAGGTTACTGGGAGTTGTGGGGGATTGATAGCTTGTTTAACCGCAGCCCATTTCTTAAAGAGTTCTAGCATTACTAACACTTCTGGTAGGGGCCTAAAATTTGGCAAGGACTGAAACTGGATTTAGAAGGATCCTTCTCTCTGCCCCGGGCTTAGCTTGGATCATAGTTACCACTTTGGCAGCAGTATATCCCTGGAAAAGAAATAAATAAGCAACACCTTTCTCACTTGTAGGGGAGAGATTCTTAGAGGATTGCACATTCTACAGCACTGCCTTGACTGCGCAGACCAGGTCACTTGAGACTTTTTGATATGGTGTGCAGGACAGAGAAGGGGAAGCGGGAATAAACTGGAGTTGTATTTTGTAAATTTCTCAGGAAAAAAGTAATAAAGCGGTTCTTCATTACCAGCTAGTACCACTTTAACAGTCAAAGAATCCAGAAAACTTTAGTTTGTTAAGGATGTTGGAAACTGTGAAGTTGCACCCTTGAGAAACTACAATTCCCATGATTATTTGGGAAAGCCCTAACTGTTAATATGGTATAAGGTGCATTAAATGTATGGTTTGGAGTGATGCAACTGTTTTGGGCTATCAAGAGGAAGATTTAGGTTAAACATTAAGAACTCTGCGGATATAAGAACATGTTAGCAATCAAACAAGCTGTTTGTGGAAACTGGGGGGGGTGTTCCTTATATTGGGGTGGTCAGGGTGGGAATATGGACAGTCATGCCCCCATCTGAACCTGGAAGTTGACTTCTCTTGTTCAGTGTACCTAAAGTTAGTGCATAAAGCTAACAGATAAAACCTCATGTTCAGTAAACAGCTGATACTGCTCTGTTGACAAGGCAAAGGAAGAAACCTGATCTTGTGCTCTACCGCTGAACTACAGCCCTTCTCCTAGTAGACAGATTTTCTAGAACACCTACATAGTCCTGCAGTGTGGAAGCCTCTGACATGCTAAGCTGGTCTGGTGGTTCAAAATGTTTGGTTGTTCAGGAAACAAAGCAGTGTAAGCCACCTTCTGTGAGAGAGTGGAAGTTGTCAGTCCATGTGGGGTTAAAAACCTCATACAAGGGATATTTGAGGACTGGGAAGAATTCTCAGGAGGTGGGGCGGGACAGAGAAAACTGTTGAGATGGTTGAAGAAAAGGATTCAGAGCAGGCAATGGGCAGAGCAACAGAAGCCATTTTGTGTCATAAAGTTACACCCATGTCTGAGTAGTACATCCCTTGCAACAATGTACCTAATGGCAAGGTGAAAATAAATCAGAACCCAACAACAGACAATAAAAGAAAATGAACAAGCAAGTGAAGAAAAACCACTGCATTGCAAGCTGAGGTAAAACAGATAACCAGATATAATAGTTATTTCAAGCCGTCTTGAATTAACTGGACATTTTTGCTTATTTTGAAGCAACTAGGTCATGTCAGGGCATATACAAAAAGAACATGAACAGACACAGAACAGTGGCTCTTGTTAACCGAAACAGAAGCCTTGGCAGTTGTAGGGATGTGAGCACTTTCCTTTGGATCTTTACAGAATAAGACTTATTCCAATCAGTGACCACAGACCACCAGATCCAGCAATCCAAATTCAAAAACACATGCTATTAAGAAATGGAGACACTGTGTAACTCTATATCACCACCATGAAATACAAATCAAGCAAAGACGGTTCAGTTGACTACTTGTTCTGTGCTGTGTGGCTAGTGAGACAAATCCACCATTACAAACTAAACAAGTCAGAAGTTTGTGTCAATAGTCTTATGACTGATGCTTCACCCAGATTTGTATCATTCGCTGAAGCAAAAGAAGAAGAATTGCACCAGAAGTAATCTTTCAGAAATAATTGAATGTGGTAGACAATGGAAAATGAATTAGAATTGAGGGAACTATTTGTTAAGGAAGGAGAAAAAAAGATGCCCAACACCAACAATAGACAAAGAAAACCATACCATCAGCACAAATGACAACACCAATTTCCCAGGTTATGACATGGAAACTGCTTTGATCGCCTTGGTAGATGACTTACTTCAGGAGCTGCTGGACATCTCAGCAGCTTTCAATACCACTGACTCTGGTATCCTTCTGGGCCACCTGCCTGGAATGGGATTTGAAACCATTGTTCTTCTTGGACAGGCAAGCCCAGAAGGTGGTGCTAGGGGACTCCTGTTTGATTCCATGGCCATTGGCTTGTGACATCCCTCAGGATTCTGTCCTGTGCATCATGCTATTAAATATCTACATTAAACCGCTGTGAGAGGTTGCCCAGAATTTGGGGGTTCTCATCATTTAAATCTGAGGGAACTTTTTTGTTCTCTGGTGTCAGTGATGGACTGAATGAGGGAGAACAAATGAAGCTTGATCCTGATAAGACAAAGGTTGTCCTGGTCAATTGAAAAGCAGATCAGCAAACCGCGATTCAACTTGTGCTGGGCGAGTTATAGTCCCCATGAAAACTCAGGTTCACAGCTTGTGTGTACTCCTAGATTCAACCCTCAGCTTAGATGCCTTGGGGTTGGTAGTGACTGGGAGAGCATCTTCACGTTCATTTAACAATAGTGTGCCAGCTGTGCCCATTGCAGGAGATCTGGTCATTAGTTACGTCCTGTTTAGATTACTGCAACATCATGCTCTATGTGGGGCTGTCTTTGGGAAGTGCTTGTAAGTTCAGCAAGTCAAAGATGCTACGGGCAGATTGCTGACTTGTTACAACAGCTCCACTGGCTAATGGTTGATTGCCAGGCACAATTAAAAGTGCCCTATACAACTTGGATACAGGCAAATTGAAGGTCTGTATCTCCCTTTAAGAGCCTGCCCAGACCTTGAGATCTTCTGGAGAGGCCTTTCTCTCGGTCCTGCCACCTTGACAAGCACATTTGGTGAGGACAAAAGACAGGGCCTTCTCAGTGGCTTCTCGAGATTGTGCAGCTCCTTGCCATGGGAGTGTAGTCTGACCTCCTTTCTACTTTCTTATCACTGGCATTGACTATTGTGGCAGAGTCTTCTGAAGGTGGGTGCTGTACATTCTCTCCTTTTCTATGTGTGCTTTTAAATGGTTTAAGTATTTTCCATGCTGTTTTTAATAGGGTTACTTCTCTCTCTCTCTCTCTCTCTCTCTCTCTCTCTCTCTCTCTCTTTCTCTCCATATATATAGTGGGTGTGCATGTTTTAGTTGTATTAGTTTTAATTCATGGTGGGAGCTTCCTTGGGTTCTGTACTGGGAGAAAAGCAGGATATAAATAAACAAACAAATTAGGAATCCTATCATCATCCAAATGGTTTAATATGAGAATACGATTGCGCTGAGGGTGGGATTCCTCATTTCCGTGCTCAAAAATTTCTGTTTCCCAAGGCTGAGCCATCTGAAAAAATCCAGGGTGGTGCTTGAGTGTTGTTAGTGCTTTTTTTAAATAAAAATAAAAATGTAGGAACACACCCTACAGCTATGGCATATATTGTTTTTTGAATCCTATTTCTGTAAAGCATTTGTTCTTTTCAAAGGGAAGCTTTTGGGTTGATTAGCTCTTTTGCGACCTTTGATAACTCTTGGCTTTGTTTTTTCTTCAGCTGCTTGGCCGATGCCAATGCCAAATATGGACTGAGCATTCCAGCTCTTGACTTAAGCAACTTGTTGGGGGGGGTGGGGGTGGAATTAAATAAGTCAGTCAAAGGAGGAGAAGGGGGGGGAGGAATAAAAACACACACCAAACACTCGCCGCACACAATAGCTGGAAAGTGGGAGTGGAGTGGTGTTTTCCTCTGTCAGTGGATCAATGTGTTCTCTAAGCACTTCCATCCTGTCCAGTCCCCTCGCACAGTCTCCACCTGCTAGCTGGCTGGCTCTGGAGGGAGCATTGACCTGGCCACTCCCTCGTTCTGCTGGCGCCAGCGGCTTGATGGGCCTTGCACTTTGATTATTTGTGTTAACAGCTAATTTAGCACCGTGGACACGTGTGCCAGAGCTGCCTCCACTTCCTCCAGCCTTCCAACAAATGAGACTTTTATGAGATGCCTTTCACAGCTCTCCTGCCTCCTCTGGTTTGATTCCACTCCACCCCCCACCCCCGCTCTGCCGCCACTGCCACCCCCACCCTCCCTTCAGTCGCGGCTGTAATCTTTTCTACATCTTGCAGGAAAAGAGCTATTTCTGGCAGCTCTCTCTCTTAACACTCACCCCGGTCAAACTGATTTAATGGAGATTTATAGATGCAGGGCTAACACAGCTCTGAGGCACTTTCCCAAAAGGTTGTGCCAACGTTATGTATGGAATGTATTTTTATGTTTGGTGTCAGAGTTATACTGTTGGCTTATTAGTGCAGCATAGTATGGAGGTTTGTTTAGCTTTCTTTGTACAAGAATGCCAGCAAAGCCTTGTCACACCGGCCCATTCACAGTCTGCCTCATCCTTGCTGCTTGAGGCAAAAAACAAGATGGCACTCACCCCACCCTTACCCCCACCCCTCACCCATTCACATACAGAAGGCGGCCAGATTGGCAGTTGGATTTTACCTCAGCATAGACAACAGGACATTATTCACCAGGGCAGCTGAGGCCATGGGCGGGAAACATTAGGCAGGGCAGGCATTGTGGCCCACACAGTTCTTTCCCCCTTCCAAAAAAAAAAAAACACCTCATGGCTACCCCTCATGCCCAGCAAGCTACCTGAGGCCACTGCCTCACTCTGTCTCATGGTTGGGTTGGCCCCACATCCTAGCTGGCAGAATGGCAAAACTGATGCAGAAAAGCAGGCCTAGGTTCACAAAAACTAAGTCTGTTCAGTGCTCTGTGTTAAAACAACAGTGGTCATCAGCAATGCAAGTTCTTTGCCTCAGATCTTCCCTTGGCTTAGGACTCCAGACGCAAACTCCGCTCCAACAACTGGGGGCAACAGAACAAAGCATCCCATACAGCTAATCAACTACTGCAACTATCTCCCATACCTCCATGTCACCCCATTCACTATACGTGGTATGTCTTATCTGAACTTGATTCCTCTAAAGCAGGCATAGGCAAACTCGGCCCTCCAGATGTTTTGGGACTACAACTCCCATCATAACTAGCTAACAGGACAAGTGGTCAGGGATGATGGGAATTGTATTCTCAAAACATCTGGAGGGCTGAGTTTGCCTATGCCTGCTCTAAAGCTCTTTCCCTTCCCACACCCCAACAGCGGGGATCATTGTGGAGGTATTTATCTCCACAAGCAAGTAAACCCCCTGTTGGTAAAGGCCAGGCACTTGGTTCTAGTCTTTGCTTACCAAACATTCGTGAAAGCTGATTTTATTTTATTTTTGCTTTGCAGAATCACAGCCACTTTTGGGGTGAGGTTGAGGTGAAAGCAGTGGCTCTGCAACCTGGTGGCACCCCTCTGCCTTCTTCCCCACAAACATCTATTGTGCAGCCAGGTTCAGCCACCTATTGTGTGCCAGCTGCTATCTATTGTTCTACTCTCCCCAGGTACAGGATGCATCCCACATGCTTTTCCATGCAGCTTAGAGGAGGTGGCCCAAGCCATGACCAGCAGCAGTGACCAAGATGTTCCTGGCAGTTTCTTCATGAATTTATTTATTATATTTAATATATTCCACCATTCCTCCAAGCATCTCAAGGCAGCATATACAGTTCTCCCCCTCCCCATTTTATCCTCACAACAATCCTGTGAGGTAGGTTAGGCTGAGAGATTATGAGTGCCCCTAGGTAGGTCACCCAGTGAGGGTGCTGAGTAGGGACTCGAACCCTGTTCTCTCAGCTCCAACACTTTATCTCCAACACCACACTGGCTGTTAATCTACTTGGTCCAGGCCATCTGCTGTACCCTTTCATGTACAGGCAGGCATTTATTTATTTATAAGGTGTTCCTAGGATAAAGCTGGTGGAAGGCTGCTGCTCTTAGTGTGCGTCTGTGGTTGCACCTCCTCTTGGCTGCTTGTCTAGAAGCAGGCAGAACCCAGAGAGCCAGAGCCAGAGCCATGCTTGATTTCTGCTGGAATCCAAGGCTGTGGCTGTGGGAGAAGCAAGACCTTCTTGGGGTGATAATGCTGTGAGAACTTCCATTGTAGGCTCTGATGGATAAACCATATATCATAAAGACACCTCAGTCTCCACTGTCCCTCATTCTGAGGAAACTGAACCCTGGGTAAGCACATGGAACCCCTGAAATCCCTCACTTCTCCGATTGTGGTGGTGTGCAACAATGTTTTCTGGTTGTGTGTTGTTCCCCACCGACCACCATGCTCCTTGGCTGAGGAAGATACGACAGCTGTTCCACTCTGGGGAGGGTTGTAACATTCAGGATTTTTCTTTTTCATGGTGATGCATTCAGATACACTCTTCTTTACCCTACAGCCTATGGCCTAAAGGGGCTCACCCTCAGCATGGATGTTACAATCAGCTGTCAGGCATCAACTCTGTGTAAGGTCCCTGGCAAGGTTCCTGCATAAGAAAAGAGAATGAATAACCATCCATGTCCAGGAGGATCAGGAGGTGAGGAGAAGGAGCTGCCCCCCACCCTTACCGGACACCACAAGGCAAAATGTTAGGAATAAAGAAATCGGACTGAGTAAAGCAAGTAGCAGGCAGAAAAACAGTGTCGAATGCTTAGCTTAGCCCCCTTCGAGTGACTGTTCTGTGATGTGGAAGAGCCTTTGGAAGAAATAAGACACATGGCTGTGGGTAAAATGGGGGAGGAGGAGGAGGAGGAATTAGAAACTGTAATTCAATCTAATATTTGAGGCTTGGCAAGTGCACCTATGGGATTTCATGAAAAATCCTGAATCTTTTTCATTTTTGAGCAATTAACCAGATCCCCAGTATTGCTGGCTCCAGTGAGCCGCTTAGCTCTCTGTTTTATTACCCATTTCCTTTCCCCTTTTGCCAGCATGAGCTCCCATCCTCCAACTTGAAAAGGAAAAGGACAAATCCCAGGCTGCTAAGGTGCCACAAAGGGGCCACCACAGACAAGTGCCAGGCAAGTGCATTGCAGAGCTAATGCAGAGCACACGTCAATGAGGCTCACATTTGGATCCAAATGCTGTTGTGTGGAGCCATTTATGTGTGGCATAATTAAAAACATCCCGCAGTAATTTAATAGATCCCACCAAGTACAGACATAAAGTCTAGCTTGCTTTCCCCCCTCCTGCTTTTCCCTTCTGCAGATTTAACTCTTAGAGAAAAAGAGCTGCAGAGAAAATAGAGGAAACTTGAGGTTCTCACTGGAGATACAGACAACTCTTTTGTTCATATTCTTTTTATTTCAGGAGAGAGAGAGAGAGAGAACAAATGGCTTTCGGAGAACGGGGTGTGTATAAATAGCGATCACATTTAAATTGCTCTTAAGCCCCCCAAGCAACAATGGTAGGAAATGATTCTTCGCGTTTGCACAGTGCATTGTTTGTGGTTACATGGAAAGATTAATGATCTGTGAAGATGCTGGGATATTTTTTTTTAAAGCATGTGCTTGCCTATTCTACAGAAAATCTGTGCAGTGTGTTTCCTTCTCTATGTCTTTCAGCATGCATGGATTGCTGTCCTTATTCATATTTTGTGAGAGCTGCTAGAGCTTACAAGTCAAAAGCATATGCTACACTATAACTTTCAAGCACATTCAAACCACATTTTCTCCCTCCCTGGGAAGCGTAGTTTGTTAAGGGATGCTGGGAATTGAAACTCCATGAGGGGTAAACTACAGTTCCCAGAATTCTTGGAGAGGCATCTTTAAATCCACTTTAAAGGTAAAGAGCAAATGCAGCCAAAGTCTCCAGTTCAAAACCCAGTAGCAATGTGAAGTAAAGAGACTCAGCCCACCTTGCATGGTGGTTGTAAAGATTGCTGGCAACACAGTCTTTGAACACTTATGGAACATACATTAATAAACTTTATTTAACACTTCATCCTGCCACTGAAATAGCCCCCATTCATATCAGAAAAGCTACCCCAAGAACAAGAAATAGTCATTATTAATGCTATTATAATTCATTCATTCATTCACTCATTCAAAGGTCACCGGGGCAAGTCACAATATTAAAACACAATATTAAAAACAGTTTATAACAATTTGCACGGGAATCTTGCCCATTAATATGCTTCACTTCTAATGTTATTACAGTCCTAACCATGTGATGTAAACCCCTGGTTTGTCTAAGGACTGACCACAATATGAGTTTCCCTGACTGAAAAGTGCTGAGTCAAGTCAACAAGAGCAGAAGCGAGAGATATGCCTTTTTAAACAACAAAAATAAAACAACCAAATTTTGGACTGAATAAGAAATCCAGTCTTGGCCCCTTGAGCCTTGTCAGTTGCTTATATTCCATTGACTTTGGGCTCTGACTCCAATACCCCCTCCTCTCTCACAGATCGGATTACCTGCCAGTTTAGGAAATTGCCTTACTGCCTGTTTTTTTTTAAGAGTAAATGGTACTCTCCCCCACCAAGATCATGAGCAACCCACAGAGGGAGAGAGCTAAGAAAATAATAGCTGGAGATTTCCCCCCAATAAATTCACATTTCACTGGCATGGTTATGTTCCAGAACTGAATTTCATTATCTGCCTCTGTGAATGAAATGGAAAATGCTGCTGTGCAGGGATAGGGTCATAACCTCGGACATACAGTTCAGCCCCCTAGTGGTGTTGGCCACTTCCGGGCAACCTGTTTATTGAGCATTGATTTGGATTTGTTCGCAGGGAGGATATACAATGCTGCATCAAGCAAGTGTTATCTCCACACCTTCCATAGCATTTCCCCATCTTTCTCCTTATCACAAAAGTCTCCTGTTATAAGAATTCTAAGGTCCCAAGTATAAAATAAACGTTCATAAATGTACAAGGCAAACACACACATAAGTATATAAACCACGTGTCTGAAATAGTACAGGAGAGCAATCCTGAAGTCATTTTGACTCTCTCAAACTGACCTCAAATATTTCTCTGCAAGGAGGTGAGGAGGTGGAGTAGAGGATGGACAAGATACTATTAATACTTACATCTCATACATTTCACATCCAGATACACATTTCAATACCCATTGCTGTAATTAAAACTGAAAGGTCAAATTCAGAATTTAATCCTACTGGCTGTAATGTTTTAAATAAAAATATTAATTGTGCTTCTTGTTTTAATATTTTTTGATGTCCTGTTTGCTATATTTCTGAATATTAAATTCCATATTTGATGATAGTATTAATAGTATCATGTCCATCCTCTACTCCACCTCCTCACCTCTCTACTAATGTAAAACACCTGTTGAAAAACCTATAATGAGAGGGTGTGTATATATATTTGTAACCAAACAGGGCTACCTTGCTAAGCTATTCAGTCTTGTATGCTTAAGCCAAGAAATTGCCTATTCAAAGTTATGTACGTACATAATTATGAACTTTCGCATTATAATTGATTATTTGTATATAGTGGGAGAATTTATATTTACTTTGCATTTACGGTAATTGAACACCTAGAAGTGTATTATGTTGATTCTGATAAGATTTCATTTGGATTATTATCAGTTAGCACTAGTAGATGCATCAATGGCACGAGACAACTGAAGAAGCCCAGAAAACTGTGCTCAGGGAGTGTGCTGTCCGCCAACCCCAACAAATTGGGCCCCCTGGGGGCGAAACAGCAGTCTCTCAACTGCATGGACTGCTAGGGCAAAATGGGGATAGAGCGTTGGCACCCTGTCTTCTTTATTACTTCATATGCTGCTTCATCAGCACCTCACAGCTACCAGGAACAACGTTGAACTTACCCTTTTCTTGAATCTTCTTGAACTTATTTAAAAAACAAGAAAAAACGAAAAACTGAGTCAAGAATTTGTAAGAACCTAGTAAAATCTGATATTGCAAGTTCACTTTATTTTAGATAGTTTGTAAGTTTTCATGGCACTCTCTAAGTAATTGTCTCTTTCTCACATATTTGATAAATGGTGTAAAATTATTTTTGAACAACTGTGTGAATATTTGTCGCCAACGTGCTGTACGAGTCGCACTATCTTTATTAATGGCACAGGTTGCATTTTTCTAGCACCAAAGTGAAGTTAGGCTTCTCTTAGTAGCTAGCTGGAATGTGTGTGCTATTTTATAGTACCTAATAGTTCGCCTTCTTGTGTTATCATATACAGCCACAAAGGCAGCCACATATCTGCCTCTGTACTTGGTAGGGTATGTAACTGCCTACAAATGATTACAAGGCATGTAGTCTGCAAACTGTGCTTCCACATGCACTAAAGTGAGAGTATATCCCATAGATTTAACTTGGAGGCATTCCTTGATGCATGCATTAGAAATGGACCACACAGAGGACATGCTTATTAATTAGATAGCTCCAACCCTGATTTTACCTTCCTGTGGGTTCACGCAATCAGCATAGTTCATAAAGGGTGTTTAAACAAAGAACAGGGTGTTTCTTACTCTGAAACTCCACTTGCTGCTCTTCAGTACTGCAACAACAGCAGCGATTATTTCATTTCAGTTATTACTTTATTGCTGCTATTATTGTTTCTTGAACAGAATCTGGAGCGAGAGCATGAGCACGAGCAGAAAAAAGCAAGGCCTCCCTCAACTAGTGAAATTGTGGTTTTCTTCCAACTGGAATCCTGATAAAGATCTCTTCCATGTATAAATAAAAGCAGAGAACTTTTTGTACTGCAGTATTTCTGCAATGCCACAGTTTCTCACCATGTCGTTTTGAAAGGGTGCTTGGCTGCAAACCTTCCCACAGATGAAAATAATCTGTCTTCCCCAATTAACATACAACACTGTGCACTATATAACCCTTCAGAAGAGGCACAAAGGAGAGATGGCACAAAACTGAAGACTACAGAATCAGACAGACAGGTCCTAACAGCATCTTGCCCAACCTCTTCTGGAGTACAGGATTCTCTGTACATTCACACCACATACCAAACCTCCTGTTGATTAACCCACATAAGAGGGAATACAGTGCACATTTCACATCCCACAGCTATGTTACATTAGTGAAGAAATTTGATACCAAGCCCAGCACATGACATCTTCAGCTACGCTGAAACAAACATTTTGCTGGCGCTGAAAATCTGAGTCCCCTCTTTCACATACATGCTGAACCTATACCATTCCAGATACTTTAAATACTGTGTAGGAAGGTTCCTTATCTGCCCTGAAAGGTATGGTTTGGTTTGAACTTACTGTTTCTTTCTCCATCTCTTGGAACAGATGGCATAGTTTTACTTGAGACAAGTAACGCCCATGTCAAGAGCGCCTGCAATTTACCAAAGCAATATTATTAACAGATAGATTAACTGTAAGTGAGAATCAGTGCAATACAGGGTCAGCTTCTAAGGCAGAGGTGGAAAATGTGTGTTCTCCAGATGTTGTTGAACTCCCAACTACCATCAGTCCCAGCCAGTGTGGCCAATGGTCAAGGAGGAAGGGAGGATGGGAGCTGTAGTGCAGCAACATCTGGGGGGCCACAGATTCCCCACCTCGGTGCTAGGATCTCGAAAGTCTCATGCAGCATGCAGCTCCCATCAAGCCAAACTGAGTTTTTGTCAGAATGAAGACTGCTTCAGACTTTGCTTTGGTGTAGAATGTTCAGTGTCTTGATGGAAATGAGGCTGAAATCAATGCATGAGAAAGAAACAAATCGGTAAAATATGACAA